TACCATTACTGTTACTTGCGGTAAAAAGTAACTCGTTACCGTTACTCGTTACTGATTCTAAAAAGTAACGCGTTACCGTTATTTGAAAAGTAACGATAAAAAAATCGTTACTTTCCGTTACTTTTGTAAAAAAAAAAAGTTAAAATCGGCATGTAAAACGAAAAGTAGAAGAGACAGTACATAAATTATACATATATAAAGACAAAATATAAGATATTTAAGCGGGAAGCACACATTATTGAATAAAGGCCATTCTACATTAGTCGCAAATCGCAAGGTCGCAAAAAAATTGACTAGTCGATTGTTCTCCTTGCGACCGAAGAATAATCAATTATGATTGGTACAATTTCCTTCCGATCTTGCGATTGCGACTAATGTAGAATGGGCTTTAGGGGCGCCGCACACGAATTGACGTAACAGTAACATAAGATGTACCGTAAAAATGGACTAATTACAATCGAGTATTCACAAAAATGGCGACCTTACGGTTCGACGATACTCAAAGTGATTGGTCAGTTTTTACGTCTTACGTTACTGTTATGTCAATTCGTGTGCGACGCCCCTTAAGCGTCTTCTACAATGGCAGTAGGAGTAGTAGTAAGAAATAAGCAGTAAGTAAATAGACCAATCACAATCGATTATTTTTGAAACGTAAGAATGGAATTGGTCAATTTGTTTACTGCTTATTTCTTACTACTACTCCTACTGCCATTGTAGAAGACGCTTTAAAGGCCATTACACACAAAATTCCGTAAGAACTTAAACCGTAAGCGTAAGGAAATCGATCAATCCCAATCGAGTATTCGGCTCTTCGTAATAATAGAGGGGTTACGAAGAGCCGAGTGGGATTGGTCGGTTTCTTTACGCTTACGTTTTAAGTTCTTACGGAATTTTGTGTGTGATAGCCTTAAGTGTGGTCTACAATGAAAACTTAAGCCATAAAATTTAAGCTTTAAATCCTAAGCCGTAAGAAGTTGACCAATCACAGTCAATTATAAGAAAAATAATTTCTTACGGCTTAGAGATTAAAGCTTAAATTTTATGGCTTAAGTTCTCATTGTAGACCACTCTTTAGAGGCTTTCTACAATAAATTTTAAGTCGCAATAAAATTGACCAATTACAGTGGATTATTCTTCTAATAGTCGACTGTGATTGGTCAATTTTATTATGACTTAAGATTTATTGTTTATTGTAGAATGGGCTTTACGGAAAGCAGCACATTAATTGTTTATCGTGTGCAAACTTTTATCGCGTGGCAAGCGTTGCCGCGTTCTGTGTACAGAAGCCGTCATAGTAAAAAAGTAAAACGATATAAGTAACGATGAATTTCGTTACTCGTTACTAAAGAAAATGTAACGCCGTTACTTTTTCGTTACTGATACAAAAAAGTAACGGCGTTACCAAATCGTTACCAAAAAAAAGTAACGAAATAGTAACGTCGTTACAAGTAACGCGTTACTTCTTAACCCTGTATATAAGTGTTATATATAGTGTGTTATATATAATCATAGATTTCACTACCTTTCTCAGAAGTTATTAAGACATATATTACATCATAAACAATGTGCAATACATAAACTCGATGAATATTCTAAAATGGTTTGGAACGAGTATTTTAAAATTGTTCTCGAAGAATATCCCACAAATATTCTTGACAAATATTCTATATACTTTCGAAGGAATATTCTTAGTTCTTTTTCATTATGAAAATATGATTCTAATTATAATATTCTACGTATATTTATTGAACATTCCATTTGAATATTCTGAAATTGAGAATATTCGCATTCCATAAGAATATTCATAGAACATTGTGTATCAACTATATGAGTATAACATGTTGCATATATGATAATATTTGATAATAGTTTCTTAATGTTCCAAGAAACCAAAATAAAATACAAAATAATGTTTTGTAATCTGTTTTTCAATTCCGTGAGACATTCCGTAGTCATGCTTCTTTGTTTTGAGATGCTATATGAACTAAAATTATTCTTCTTTAACTCCATACCAAAATATTATCTTTCTTTTCTTTTCTTGACGTTATATTTCTGACAATTTTCTTAATTCTACAAGTATTAAATCTGTAAATTTATGTTCTGCATCTTTTTCATCTTTCTTTGCCATTGATGCCACATTTGAATTTTGTAATTTCTCTTTTATAGTGACAGATATTGATAAAAATGACTTCTCAATGTTATCCGAATCCGACTTAGATCGTTTTTTAGAAGTTTATATATATATATATATATATATATATATATATATATATATATATCACTTTGCACAACCGTTGGTAGTGTAAACGACAATTTTTCTTTATGAAAATCAAATTTTGGAGATGAGCATGTTCTAGATGTTGAGCTGTTTCAATAAAAAAAGTGGTAGATGATTCAAACTGTTTATCTGTATTTATTTCAGCAATATTAAGCAAGTTGTGATTGATGACATAACGTTGCTAATGGATACTTTGTATATAAGTTTGTTGGAACTGATGAAGCTTGAGTTTTAGAAATAGTAGGAGAACAAATTGTTGCAGTAATATCTGGAATAGATGAAGTTTTTGGAATATTTTCTTTATTCTTCTTATCTTGTAAAATATTTGTAAAAGTTCTGTAAGAATAAAAAAATTAATATTAATTAACAAACTGATGTTAAATAATGTAATAATGTAAATATAATATTTTAACAAAGAAATTAAAATTATAGTTTATGTAATTGTAGTTTTTATACAATACGTATCTTCTTCGTAGAATATAGCCATTTAAAAATTTCATGTTGTTATATAAAACAAAACTCTTTCATTGAGATGCTCCACTTCCACTTATTGAATCCACTTCTATTTCTCTTCTTTCTCTCGAGAATCGTTCTCTTAATCTATCTATTTTGACATTCATCAGCTAAAAATATAGAACACATATATTGAGTACATCTTATAAAGTATTATTTATTGCATTACTGATTGAATGTAATTAAATAATTTTTACTTACGTGTCCAATGCATTATTTTTCCAAATTTATTCCAGGAATTCTTTTTCATTAATGAATCTTTATAATTTGATGGTTGCTTTCCAACAAGAGACACAAGTCGACACAAGTATTCCTTCCTTCCTTCAATATTTGGCTACAGGCCTCTATAAGAGTAATGCCCCAACGCCAGTTTCCGATTAATGATATAATTCGAGAGCAAAGTCTTGGAAATTTTCAAGACACGATCCAAAAAAATCACAAAGTCCGAACTTATTCGAACACGTCTTGTCGTGACGGCGGTTAGGCCGGGACTTATAGCGAATTCGGTTGCTTGCACTAGTGTGGACTGAGTGCGCACTAGGCTTGTTCATAGTATGTTATTATATTTAAAGATTGTCTTAAATAATTCTCAAATAAATTCTCAAATATTTTTAACCATAATATGATATGTATAACATCCGTACGAATCATTTTATTAGTTAAAATGTTTTTAAATATGTATTTAAGACACGATCTTAAATATAAGAATGTACTGTAAACAAGCCTTAATGCGCAATCAGTGCGCACTAGTGCAAGCTACCGAATTCGCTATTAGTCGACACAAGTATCATCATATTTTGTTACTCACTAAGGCTGATATTTCACGTGTCGTACGACAACCTTTGTGGATACGTTCATTGGTTGACGAACAGAGAATCTAGAAATACTATATTCGCCAACCAATAAACGTACCTGAAAAACTTGTCGTACGACACGTGAAATAGCATCCTAAATGTGGAACTTTGTGTCGGGTGTATATCAGTTGGACACGGGGCAATTGGACACAGTCCAATCACAAGTCGCTGTTCCAAGAGACCCTACAAATGTCTCTAATCACACGGTGCTGTGATTGGCTGTGTCCAAATGCATCGTGTTCAAGTGCACCGCTCCCCTTTGTGTCGACTTGTGTCTCTTGTTGGAAAGCAACCGATTTATGATATAAATGATTTATCATATAGATGCGAATAAGCTTTGATTAAATCAATTAATATAGTGAGTCCCAGATGCGCACATTGACAAATGGACACATCCAAACATATGTAGTTGTTTATAGAGTCTCTAGAATATCTCTAGACATTTGACGTTGTGGTTGGCTGTGTCCATTTGTTAATGTGCGCATTTGGGACGCTCCCAATTAATAAATCATTTTATGTGTTCCATATCATATCAATTTCTTAATTATTGTTATGTTTTACTAATAAGCTTTCATTTGAAAGCAATTTATCTGTCTGGATGTATATATGGTCTTCCTGCATTTTTATGACAAATACTAAAAAAATATAAAAATAATTCTTGTAAAAAGAATTAAGATAAATATATATATAAGTAAATTTAATTATTTTTGGAAGATATATTAACAAGTATCAAGAAAAAAAGGAACGTTACAAAAAACAAAAAATACTACAATACAAAAGAGAAAATAAGTGCTTTCCAATTGCAATATCCCTAGACACTTTATGCACACGGCGACACAAGTTGCATTCCAATTGCATTCGTATCGTCGACACAATACTACACATTTGTATTCAGCTCGAGGTTAGGCGACAGTTTCCCGAAAAGTGGAGGGGATAATGTTGGTACCAAGAGAAATCTCTACACGATATAATTTAAAAATCTGTTTTTTATAATTGCACTGCTGAACTGGTGCAATAAATTGAAGTGTGGCAAGTACACGTTTTCTCATTCTAACCTTTTGCATTAGTTCAGCGGGAGCAGTGCACTTGGACACGGTGCATTTGGACACAGCCAATCACAGCACCGTGTGATTAGAGACATTTGTAGGGTCCCTTGGAACAGCGACTTGTGATTTGACTGTGTCCAATTGCCCCGTGTCCAACTGATATACACCCTAGTTCAGCAGTGTATAATTATAAAGAACAGATCTTTAAATTATCGTGTAGAGATTTTCCTTGGTACCAACATTATCCCTTCCATTTTTCGGGAAACTGTCGCCTAACTCATCTCGAGGGCTAGTCGGCTGTGTAAACTAGTGTTTTATAGTGACAATTAAAGTTAATAAGCGTAGCGGCTTGAAAAGAGACAGGCATTTGCGACGTGAAGTGGATAATATCTTTCTTATTATTTAGATTTTATTATTTATTATTAAAAAATACCAAAATATAAGTATAATTGAAAAATAATCCTGACTCTACCCGACATACATACATATTAGTACACATTTTCCAATTGAATCGTACACAACGTTACACTTTGTGCATTTCTGTGTACATATGTGTCAAGATGTGTTAAGCAATTGGAAAGCACCCAATGTTAACACATACATACAAAATATTGAAAGTACTAATAACTTCTATTTATGTTCACTACTTATATATATGCACTTATAGAATATTTGTAAAAATATAAATACTTTATTCATCACAATAAACGTATATCTCAATATATTTCAACGAGCAGTTTCACGCGACACGGATATAATATACTATAGATGCGCCATCAACTATTTGCTTCGAATCTTCATATACATATAAAACTTGTGCATAAAGAATTTATGTAAAAATTCCAACCGGTTGGAATTCTAGTTATTTCTTCTGACGGCCAACTTAGTCGTAATATATATTATCTTTTAGGCCGGTATTTATAATCCGATCTTATATTTAAGATCATCTTAAGTACTGTCGTGCCCGTGTTGCCGGGACACGAAGGAAAGTTCGAGATCGGAGATGCGGGTGCGGCAGGGTGTGTGGCGGTGGAGAAAATGTAGTAGAGTTTAGACTACCTTTTGTAGTATTATATATATATAAAGGTTTATTTGAATAAATACACTTGTATGTGTTTTAGTTACAACTCCCGTACTTATAAGTTAATATGCGTACCGCGCGTAAGTCACGTATGACGCGGATGTCGCGGCGAGAGACCGAGATGTTAAGCCTGACGCGAGTGGTCTCTCCGCTTTTTTATAGTATTGTTTTAGACTTGTCGGAGGGGGTGCCTGGCGACAAGAACATTACCATATTTGGTAATGGTGTCATGCGTTTGGAATTGAGGTCCTAAATGCGGAATGTGCAAGGTGGTGCTTATCGCAGCACTTGCACATCGCTTG